AGCGTGCCGCAGTTGTGCCCCCCTCCCCACCTGTGCCCATGGTATTTTTAATGCGTAATTATGTACGCGTGGCACGGATATCGCTGTTGGGCTGGGATTGGAGTGGCCGCCGTATTGCTACGCGAGCTCAGATCGCACCAGGCGGTCTATTTGCCGATTGCCCCGAGCACGCTTGAATGTGTCCGGGCTTTGAAACGCCGAACTGGTTGATTGCCTTGAGAGGCTGCTTTGTGCTTCTGCTGCGAGGGCCGCGGTGTGCTCCTCTGTTCGGAGAGAGCGCTCTGTGTTTCCATTAACTGTAATAACTCCGCGAGGTCCTAGCATCTTGAGCTTGAGGTATGCATAATGCGGTACCGCATTGAATCTAGCGAATGCGGTTCGCCCGAGCAGGGCATGATAACCACTGCGGAACGAGACTATATCGAAGATTAACTCTTCGCTTCGGAAATTATTCGGGGATCCGAAGACCACTTCCAGTGTAATTGAGCCTGTGCAATGGGCCTCTACACCTGGAATGACGCCCTTAAAGGTCGTTTTCGTGGGTTTGATCCTTGAGGGGTCTATACCCATTTTGCACATTGTGTCCTGATAAAGCAGGTTCAGGCTGCTACCGCCGTCCATAAGGACTCGAGTGAGGTGAAATCCGTCGATGATTGGGTCTAGGACCAGTGCGGCAAATCCGCCATGACGAATACTAGTGGGATGGTCCCTGCGATCGAAGGTGATCGGACAGGAGGACCAAGGGTTGAACTTTGGGGCGACTGGCTCCAACGCATATATGTCCCTGAGCGCACGCTTCCGCTCCCTTTTGGGGATGTGGGTTGCGTATATCATGTTCACTGTCCGCACTTGCGGGGGAAACCTCTTCTATCCTCCAGTGTGCGGCTGCCGGGGCTCCTCCTAGTCATCGCTATGCGGCCCCTTATCCTTGTTTTCGGCAATTAACTTGCCGGCCTGCTTGAACACCCAACAATCCCTATTGGTGTGATTGGCTGGCATGTCTGGGGTGCCGTGTATTTGACACGAGCGATCGAGTATACGGTCCAAGCTGGACGGACCAGGCGTACTTTGTTTGAATGGCTTTTTCCGCTGACCGGGTTTAGAGCCTTTGAATCCGGCATTGACTACCGTATCCTCAGTATTTTCGCTGTTAATACGGCGCTTATGCTTGTTGTGACGTGACCTGCTATTGCCGTCCTTGGTATCTGAGGTACCATGTTTCTTTGACATGTTATTACTGCGAGCCAGCCAGCTGTCTTCTCCCGCACAAAAGCGGGTCATGAGCGTCGTGAGAGCTGCCATAGATTTCGGCTTTTCCTGACCAAGGTGCCGGGCTAGCCACTCGTCTCGGATGTTGTGCTTGAAAGCTGCTAAGGCCTCCGCATCCGGACAGTCGACGATTTAATTTTTCTTTGTAAGGAACCGAGTCCAGAATTGCCTGGCCAACTCTTCTGACTGCTAAATTATGTGGCTCAAGTCATCGGCATCTGGTGGTCGCACATAAGTGCCCTGAAAGTTGTTGAGGAATGCGATTTCCAGATCTTCTCAACAGCTAATGGAGTCCGCTGGCAAGCTGTTAAGCCAATGCCGCGCTGGTCCTTTGAGCTTCAGTCGGAGGTATTTGATGGCGTGTAAGTCATCGCCGCGGGCCATGTGGATGTGGAGGAGGAAATCCTCAATCCATACTGCGGGATCTGTTGTGCCGTCGTATGATTCAATATTTACAGGTTTGAAACCTTCTGGGAATTGATGTTCCATTACTTCGTCTGTGAAGCATAAGGGGTGTGCAGCACCTCTGTATTGAGCTATATCGCGAGGCAGCTCGAATGGGTCTTGCCCGCAGTGTTCGGCCTGGCCGGATTTGCTTTTATTGTGTCCGGCGTGACGTTTGTCGTCTCGCAGAGTGGTGCGCCCCGTGATCCGTAGATCGATCTTGAATGCTTTGCCTTGTCCTCCAATATGTCTCGCAGGTCTGGCGTATCTCCCCATGCCTTTTTATTTGAATGGCGTTGGGGGGAGGCTGAGCTTTTGGCTGGTATGCCTCTCTATCGCGGTCACGAGGTGGCCGATCAGTCATATCATACGTTTCTTCCTCCAGTCGGGGTAGTAACCTGCGCCTTGGGTAACTCTTGGAGGGACGCTCGAGTTTATATTCCTCGGCCGCGAGGACTTCAGTCCATTTGTCAGCTAGCAGATCTTGATCAGCTTGAAGGTGCTGCTGCTTTTTCTTCAGGCTATTTTTCGTGGCCATAAGCCGGCGCTTGAAGCGCTCTTGTTCGACGGGATCCTCTGGTACGGCGAATTCATCATCGCCGAGGCTTGCCTCATCTTCGGAGGAGGGCATTTGATCATCCTCCTCCTCTCCATCTGCCGCTCTCTCAGGAGAGTTGGCTCCTTCATCCTCCTGCTCTAAATCTTGCTAGAGGGGATTGTTGTTGTCTTCGGCACTATCTGGAGTATTATTATCTCCTGTGTCGGCATCACCACTTTTGCTTTGGCGGGACTTAGAGCGGCGCCGCTGACGTCGGCGCTTGGGTTGCTTCTTGGAGGGGTCATCCTCCGCTATCTCGTCGCCATTGCCTTCATTGGGTGTGTCCACCATGTATATGTCATATAACGAGGTGGCTTTCCAGTGCCCTATAGGTGCTGATTCATGTTCGTCTCCTACATCGTCGTCCATACCGTCAATGTCTTTGGAGTCGAAGTCGAGCATGTCAGTTAAATCATCGACAGTGTCTACGAAGTGGGTGGTGGGTGGGCGTCGAATTTCTTCGTCGTCCGCATCCCAATCATGTTGGCCATAATCCGGCCAGGGCTCTCCTGACAAAGAGAGAGACCTTAGTGAATTCAGAATGTCGCCGAAGGGCGAGTGTTGAAAGATATCCGCGGCGGTGAATTCCATGATCGGCGCCCAATCGGATTCGACTGGCAGGGGCGCGGATGGTTCGGAGTCCGGAAAAGAGTCTGGCACCTTGGAGTCACGGGCTGCGCAGAGGATTATGCTGGTGTTTGGCTCGATCACCGTCGAGACTGCAGCCCCTGAGGCGGTGTCTAGACACCCGTCCTTGATTGGCATAGTTGGCTCCGAGCTAAGGGTCGGAGCTGATGCGGGCGCGGCCTCTGGGGTACTGTTCGGCGGCAGAGCTAGGTCATACCCATCGCGACAGTGCGGCGCGCCCGGCTGTGGCTCGAATCTGTCGAAGATCAAGTCTCCGCGGATGTCAACCGTGTAGTTCAAACTTCCAAATCTGACCTGATGGCCAGGGGCATAGCTTTCAATCTGCTCCAGATGGCCAAGTGAATTAACCCGCAGTGCAAAGCCGCCGAATACGAAGATCTGTCCGGGGAGAAAAGTCTCACCCTGGACCGCATCGCTATCGATGATAGTAGGAGCCATCAAGCCTAACGGTGACGACACATAGGAACTCTAAGTAAAAGCACCAATGTCGGTGTCAAAATCGGCGGATATCGGATAGGGGGTCCCGAACTGTGCGTCTAGGCCGGATGGTAACAGGAGGCAGGGGACACGATGTTTTACCCAGGTTCGGGCCCTCTTGATGGAGGTAAAACCCTACGTCCTACTTGATTAATATTGATGATATGGGTAGTACAAGAGTAGATCTACCACGAGATCAGAGAGGCTAAACCCTAGAAGCTAGCCTATGGTATGATTGTATGTTATGGTTGTTGTCCTACGGACTAAAACCCTTCGGTTTATATAGACACCGGAGAGGGTTAGGGTTACACAAGGTCGGTTACAAAGGAGGAGATATTCATATCCGTATTGCCTAGCTTTCCTTCCACGCCAAGTAGAGTCCCATCCGAACACGAGATGAAGTCTTCAATCTTGTATCTTCATAGTCTAACAGTCCGGCCAATGGAGATAGTCCGGCTGTCCGGATACCCCCTAACCCAGGACTCCCTCAGTGAGGCTACTACGAACTGATGACGGGGGGTGGTATATATCTGAGAACAGGACAGAGAACAATCATGCACTGCTTGATACTTGTGCTTCTAAGCTGCATTTTCCTTTGCATAGGCACATAGATAACTACACTAGAGAATTGGTGGCGCATCTTAGGCAGAATAATGTTAATCTTAGTAAGGTTTACAGCATCATTGGAACCTATTTTGGGAGGATTGAGAATGTCCCATTCACCAAAAGGTGCTTACGTACACTGTGTGGGAAAATTAGTAGAGAACAAGCTGATGATGATGTGCGTAAAACAATAGAACTTTTCTCGAAGATGAAAGAGAAAGATAGTGATTTTTCTTACACAGTGCAAGTGGATGATGAAAGCAGGATTAGGACATTGTTGTGGTCTAATGGTAGAAGTAAATTGCAATACCACTATTTCAGAGATGCGGTGATATTTGACACTACTTACAAGACAAACCTGTACGACATGCCATTTGGGCTGTTTGTAGGTGTCAACAATCATTTCCAGAGCACTATTTTTGCTGGTGTTCTTATGAGGGACGAGCAGTCAGAAAGTTTCGAATGGGTCTTCCGTGAATTTGTGAAGATGATGGGAGGAAAGGTTCCGGTGACAATCCTAACTGGTAATTTTTGTTTGTTTGTTTTCGATATGAAAAGTTCATAAAAGAAGTAATTTCGTCGATATGAAATGAATATGATTAATAGTACATATGGAATTTATGTTAATATTGTTTTTTTATTATAAATCTGAGCAGACCAAGCAAGGGCGATGGAGATTGCTATTGAGAATGTTTGGCCAGAAACAACACACCGGTTGGTGCAAGTGGCATATTCTTCGTAAGGCTAAAGAGAGTTTGGGTTTTCATTATACAAAGAAGAGTGACTTCCGAGCAGAATTCCATAGATTTGTGAACGACATGCTAACTATCGAAGAGTTTGAGAAGGGGTGGCTGGAGATTATGAAGAAATACAGTTTGTAGAGCAATACATTCCTGATACAAAATTTGAGGTGAGGCGGAAGTGGGCTAAGCCATATTTTTCTGGAAAATTTTGTGCAAAAATGACGGGCACACAAAGGAGTGAGAGCGCAAATCACATGCTTAAGAATTATGTTCCTCCAGCATGCCCAATGAATCTTTTTGTGAAGCATTATGCAAAAGTACTATTTGATAGAGAGCAAGAAGAAGGTTTCCAAGAAAAGAGCACCAAATTGGTAAGATAAGCAAGTTTGTTTTAATATATTGTACTGTGTTTAATTAAGGCTGAATCATTTTTTTATCGTTACACAGGCAGGAGTAGTTCTAAAAGTTAACATACCAATTGAATGCCATGCAAGCACGGTGTATACTCGGGCCATGTTCGAGCTGTTTGGAAAAAGTCTTTACTACTCAGGTTCTTATTACATCAAAGAATTAGTTCCAAGGACTGAGTACCTGGCAACACACGTGAAGGCGGAATCGAGGGAGAAATGGTACAAGAGCAGATACAAGGTGGTTGTTTCAGAATTCAGAGATTTTTTCAGTTGTGAGTGTGGACTCTTTGAGCATATGGGGATGATTTGTTGCCATGCACTAAATGTGTGTAGATATGATTTACAAGTAGGTATTTCTTTTTATTTGTCCATTGCTGACTTTGCAAGTGATTTGGAAAAACAGGTGATGATAGTGTTGGGATTGAATGAGATACCAAGGAAGCACATACTGAAAAGATGGACAGTAGATGCGCGTGATAGCCTTCCTGAACATCTGAAGCATTATCAAAAAGATGTAGGCCTACCTGATTGCACCACTTTCAGGCACAATGCTATGTACATCTCGGCCCTGGAATTGGTTATGATGGGTGATAGCAATCCAGAGGCTTTTGATTATGTCATGAGCGGCCTGGCAGAACTGAAGAAGGGAGCTTTGCCACTAAGTAATCTAAAAGATGGAATGAGTCTAATTGAAAAAAGGAAGGCATGCAACTCTTCTTCTGTTGGTAAATCTGTTCCTTCAAAGTGTAGTCAGAAGCAAAATATTGATGATGGAGCTGCGTCAAGTGCTGGGAAAATTGAATGGAGAAATGCAAAAGCAAGAACGGTAGGAGGGGATGGGAAATCTTCAGTCAATGGTAATGGGAACATTGAAGCTAATTCGGCCTCGTCTACTGTACAGGGGGACGACCTGAGCACGGTTGATTCAAATATTGCATTAACTTCTAGAACCATGGATACAGAAAGCAACATGTCCCTGTTACCCCCTAAGAAGAAGCCTAGGATGAGAGGTCATCCGACAACGGCAAGAGACAAGTCGAATTATGAAATAAATGACAAGCGATCGAGGTTTTGCACCATTTGCCGTGGGAAGGGGCACAAGAGAACTACATGCCCTCAAAGGGGCAACGAACCGCAGAAGCCGAGGAAGATTCCGACATGTACAAATTGTGGCATAGCCGGTCATCGTAGGAATACTTGTTCAAAAGTTTTGTACTCTACATTGGATGGGGTCCCCTCTGTAGGATGTATCTGAATTGATTATGCACTTGTAATTGGATCTTTTTTAAACATTTGGACAAGTTTGTGTTGTAAAACTTCTGAAGACAGAAATGTTGAAGTTATGTTAGTTTTTTAATTATGTTGTGTAAGAATGTCATAGTGGTAAGACATATATGTTTAATATGTAGGCGTTACATTAGTAAGTGCAGCAGCAAGGATGCATAGAAATCATTGTTGAAAAAGGAAAAAACATCGGTTATATATTTTGCATGGTGGCACAAAGGTGTTTTTTTTGAAAATGAACAAGTACAAGAAAAAAATTATTACAGTGTGTTTATGAGATTGGGATAGGCTGCAAGAAAAGGCCAGGAAAAGGCATGTGGGGTATGGGTGGCAGAGGAGTAATAAATGTGTGGGTTTTTGAACTTTGAATCGCGTGTGAGAGGCGGCAATGCTGTGGAGGTGCTTCACCATATAAGGACATTCCAAGTCTTGAGGAAGTTTCAGCACTCACAAGGGCAATAGAAGTTCATCATGTTCTAGAGAGAGAGAGAGAGAGAGAGAGAGAGTGAACCATTCAGAGCATCCATGGCCATGGTGATGGAATCAAAGAAGCGTCGCAGGAACTTTTCGGTGCGTGCACTATACTAGTTTGAAATTTTTCCTGCTTCTGTTGTTCAATCTTTTACTAAGTTGTACGTATCAGACAACTGCAAGTGTGGAAGGAGGGGCAGCTTATGCAACTATTGAGACAGGAGATACCTACTCTGGTTCAGAAGTTGAGCAGGTAAAAATGTAATTAGTGATTTAAACAATAAGATTGTATGATTTATAAATATAGCTTGACATCGTGGGAAATGACAAACAGGTTAGGCCAGTGTTGGGGCTCTATACTAAGGAGGAAGATGGAGAAAAGAAGGGGATTTTACTGGTGAGTCTGACTGCGTCTAATATGCTATATATATAGTGTTGCTATTCATCACCCAGGGTGCAAAATAAGTTATTCTTTACCCGAGATGATCTTACGATCATTTTATAATTAAATTACGTTTTGAATTCAAATAGTTACATAACATAAAATATTTTTTACGTTGATTATATATTTTTTTACGGTCCCTTTTTGCGTCGGAAATAAGACAAAACTTACGGAATGTAAAATTACGGTGCACTGATGGTAAAATAGAGGGGGGTGAAGAATAACTATATATAGGGTTGCGCTATTCGTCACCCTAGGTGAGGAATAGTTATCTATTTTGGAACGGAGGGAGTAGCGGTTTGATTTTATTGACTATAAAATGAGTAGTTAGAGCGAAGCTGATGAACGTACGCCAGGCCTACGGATGTAGTCGCCGCTGGCAGGCCACCGCTTCTCCGGCTCCATGGCGGCGCCGCCATTCTTGAGGTCCATGAATTTCGCAGCCATGGTCGGAGTCCGACGTTTGGATGCCTCCGCCTCTCTCTTCCCCGGCCTGGCGTTTCAATCTCCCGGCGTATATGCTTTCTCCATTGGTCCGAGCTCCATGTATATGTAGCCGGCGCATCGCGTGGCTATCTAGCTAGCTAGAGTTCTAGTTGTATTCTGTTATCTGTTCTGCGTTTCGGACAGCGACTCTACGGACAAACATTAGAGTATCACCAACATTGGTGCCCAAAAAACACGGCAGGAGAGAGAAGAAATTGGGGCACCAGTAAATTTATTAGTGGAAAGTTAGACGGAGGCGAACGTTTGGTCTATGGGGACATGTGTCCCGGTTATCCAATGCGTCAATAGGGGCATCGCGATTGGCAGATAAAGTAGGGTCTGGGACTATACGGTTTGAAGGGTAAGTTGGAAAGTTGATTATTAACCTGATGAACAGTGTTGTACTAGGCGGTGGAACAGGTTGGTACAGGATCTGCCGGCAGGGATGACGCGCTTTCCATCGTCCATGGATAAATGCTGTACTGCAGGAACACTCACCTTTTTGCAAGAACGAGGTCTTTGCCAGAGGCCCGTCGTCAACGTAGCTTGGTTAAGTGGGCGTGTAAGAATGTCCAAAGGATCGGCAAGAAAATGGGACTAATTAAATAAGTATGAAAAGTAGATTTATCCATGGGACTAATTAAATAAGTACAAAAATTAATTGGTAGTATAGGGGAGGGGAACGTTTGGTTCTGGGTACATATGTACCCTAAATGAAAAAATAAATTAGAAATTCAACAAAAAGTAAAAAATTTATGAAAATATTTTTGAAATAAACTTGACCTTTAATTGTACTAGTGAGAGAAGTTTCACAAAAAGAAAATTTTTCTTTGACTTCTTTCCAAAGAAGACAAATTGTCGATCAAAATATCGTGAATAGTGACATATAATAGCAAATAAATTTTCCCTTTTACGCTGTGAAGTCAAGGTTGTTTTTTTCGTGAAGTCAAGTTTAATCTAAAAATACTTTTGAACTATTTTGACTTTTTGCTTAATTATTTATAAAATAATCCCCATATAGAGGGTATATACATGCGGGAGCGAAAGGGGATTTCCCGTAGTATATAGCTCACTATTCATTATTTTTTATTGAAAAAACATTAGACTGCTTTGATAAAGGTAGTCAGAAGGAGATTTCTTTCTGTTGATTATCTGCAATGACTACAACAAAAAATCGATATTATTTGGAAAAACAATTGCAGAAACTATTGACTTATTGTGTAATTACAAATTTTTGTCGTACAAGGGTGTAGCTGTCCCCATACACCATTGTAACGAGTACAAGAAATCTACGTCCGCGGTTTTTTTGGTCGGTTTAAGAAACTAGGAAACTATGAGATTAATTATTTTTCCGTGTTGACAAACTTTGTCCGATTGAAGTTGTCTTGCTCAATACCCGTCGTGTGTAGTGATAAAACATGTGATTTGGCTATAGGATCTCCTTTATTGTCTAATTTTTAATTACAAAATCTATTGCATGTGGTCTTTGTTACTATTTTATTTTCTGAAGTACAAGGGAAATATTTAGTTATTCCCAAAAAATGTACTAATAAGAACAAAGGAAAATGTAGTTAATAAATGGTGGAGAAAGTGTAGGTTGCTGGTTTAACCGGGGGGAGAATATTGCAGTAACATTATATAATAAGTTTTTGGTGGGGAAAAACCCAATGTTTCATGGGGAAATATGTACCCTGTAAGTTGATTTTTTAATGGTTAAACAAAAAGTCAAAATAGTTAAGAAACTATTTTTAGAATAAATTGGAGTAACTTGCGCAATAGTATATAAATTTTCACAATAAAAGAAGCTGCGTTGACTTCACAGCGAGAAAGCCAGAATTTATTTGCTATTATAGGTCATATTCATAGCAAGGGAAAAAATGAATCTAGATAATTAGTTTTTAGTGTCATGTGGCAGTTAATATAAATGAAAGTAGTGCGTCATTTATTATTAGTACTAATCCTTGGCAGGTGAATATGAAACAAAAAGTACGTAGATGATGTCTGGAGTAATCATATTCATCAGCGAGTAATCAAGTCACTTATCTGTAAGTGTATGCATTTGTCTCGATGGTGTACAAAATAAAGAACAACAACCATCCGGGAAAGGGTCCAGACGCGGTTTGTGCACTGCTGCATTCCGACATGAACAGTGCTTGACACAGAGATGGGTGGGGAGGTAGTAGCTGGTTAAATGCGAGTGGGACAGCAGCCTGTACAGGTCGGACCGGATCAAATACATGGACTGCTTGTACAGATAAAGCAGTAATACAAAAGAAGACCAGGTAATGTACTAATAGCCACGGCTGGATGACCGGTGAGATTCCGGGGACAGAACCATTGGGTATTTCCCAAAGTTAGACGCTGAAGAAAGAGGAAGAGTGGAAGCGAAAAAGCCCAGGGCATGAGTTACCCAGTAAGCTAACCGCAAAAAAAAAAAAAAGAGGTTACACAGTAGGCTAATTGACCCGATGAAGCGAAAATGCCTTTCGGTGGACGGGTGCATTGGTGGAGTTAAAAAAACAATTTTCATAGCACCAAAAAAATTTGTACATGGACAAATACACATATAATACGTTCATAACAATATACTTTCACACTTTTTTAGTCTAATATATTCATACATGGGGTAGAGAAAAAATGTAAATGAAAATGGGCCAATTCTTTAAATGTTGGGCCGGGATTATTTTTTGTGCAGCTCTCTGGCTTTAGGCATTTATCAAACTAGAAGAAACCCCGCGCGTTGCTGCAGGATGTTTTGCATGAAGTTGAATGTGATTATTGTGTACATAAAATAACTTGCCCTAAATAGCATTTTTCCTATCTGGTTGTGGCTCAATAGTACAATATCTTAATGAATAATCAAAATGGCCAGTCAAATTTACTTTCTGCTAGGACTCAACTAAACAAAATATCTTGATAACATGAATAAAAAACTACAACCCCTTAGTGGAATTAGCACATAAAATGATTTGAGAAGGGCATACATAATCTGCACGGTACAAAGCAAATAAAATATGAAGTCATAAATTATGTGTACTTTAAGATTACAACATAATCTAGACGCTAGAAAACAAATACAACATGAAGTGAATATAGATATTAATACTCTACGACCCTATACGTGCAACTAACATGTTGAAGACAGAACATCTAAACCTCTCTCCCTCCTGAAAGAACATATAGCTCTCCCTGTAAAAAGTCAAACTAAGATGTACTTTATGGAATTTTAGAAAACGGGAAACTTGCTGACCAAAATATGTTACATTGATTATTTAATAACAAAAGCTAGCAAGAGTTAAGAATAGTATATACTCTACATGCATGTCGAAGCTAATTAAAGAGACTTAGAATTTAAAAAATTAACCATGTAAATAATCCTTACATAATAATTATATTATATCTCGTGATAAACACCTCAATGTTTAAACATCCACAGTGGAAAACCGGAAGGAAAATATAGATGCATCTTCAGGATATAGATGATTAGCTGATTTATGGAGTACATGGCTGTTCAGATGTGCATGAATCGCCTTTCATGGATTTCTACATAAAAGGTGCAGAACTCATGGTAT